TCCTAGAATCCTAAGAATCCTAGAATCCTAGAATCCTAGAATGCTAAGAATCCTAAGAATCCTAGAATCCTAGAACCCTAGAATCCTAGAATCCTAAGAATCCTAGAATCCTAGAATCCTAAGAATCCTAGAATCCTAGAATGCTAAGAATCCTAGAATCCTAAGAATCCTAGAATCTTAAGAATCCTAATATCCTGCAAATGCAAAAGTTTTCTTTTTGGGACGGTTCAGCTTGAACTATTCAATTGCTAAAAATTTGAGTTTGCGGCAAAGGGAAATTCTCCATAAGGTCCATTGAGTTGGCTAAGTTAAAAAGAAAAAGAAAAGCACGATTTTTCGAGAATAAAGTTAGCCCCGGTCGTCCTGTCGAGCGATTTATTACTGAATTAGATATTCTTCTTCAAAATTTACATAATGTACCTACTCATAATCGGCATTAACAATTAAAACAACATCGAAATATTCCATATGATAATCTAATAATTACGGTCCGATCAAGTCAATCGCAACATATTCCATTTTCGACACTTACTAAAAAGAAAAATTATGGTCGATTAATAAAGCGATTAAGACATAAACTTCGCTTAACCAACACAGTTCTTCAAAAAACTGATAAGTCGAAGGTATGTCATTTGGGACAACTTCAAGATTATCAAAAGAAATCAAAAGAATATATGGATAAAACTCAAGCATATCAATGTCTTGGAAGCAATGATCCATTACCTGAATTGGTTCAACGTACAAACAAGTATTTACTCGATTAACGCTTAGCTAAATGGATAACACAAAAACAATATGAACAATTATGTGTGAATCTCAATGAAATTGAATTAGCTCATTTATATTATTTACCAAAAGCTCATAAATCCGATACTCCCCTCCGTCCAATTATGGCTGATCTTCAACATCCTACGATAAACATTTCAAAATTTCGCGATAATCTCTTAAGACCATTATTCGATAAAATGGCCATAGACACAACGATTGTCTCTGGCTATGAATTAGTAAAGAAATTACAAGAATGATCTAAAGTGAATATGCGACAAGAAACATTATTATGTACATTAGATGTTGTCGACTTGTATACCATGATTCCGCAAACTGAAGGAGTATTAGCGTTAAAAAAGATGTTAGACCATCTACAATTAAAACAAATCAATGGTTTGAAAACCGAAATTATTATACGTGTAGCAAGATTCGTCATGCAAAATACGTCATAATATCATCTCATAATATCATTTCAATGGTAGGACGTGTAGTCGTCCTACCATTGAAATGATTAATTAATTAAATTAAGAAATGTTTATTTCCTACGTGATATGGACGTAACGTTGCTTCTTTGAACCACTGGTCAAAACTTGGATCATGAAGACGAAATAAGTTTACATCTTTCTCTGGTACAGTTCAAGAAGGAAGGTATCTTTAACATCAATATTGATGAAAAGCATTTTCAAATATGTTGACTATGGCATCACGTTCTTGGTGACATGTACTCTCTCAAAAAGATAACCGGCCTCAATGAAATTTCTTCTAGCATTTTTTTTCTTGCTGATAGAAGCCTTCGCAGCGTGGGCCTGTGTGACGAAAGAACACGATAAAAAAAAGAGATCACACGTCATTTTGTTTTGCGTTTCTTCTCACAACGCAAAAACCTAGACTTTCTCTATATGCTCGCGAAAATGGAAGACGTCATTCGCCAATTTAAACTAGATCAAGAGTAATTTTTATATAGTACGTTTATACATTTTACTGGGCTTTTGCTTCGATTGTTCGTTTTTCTTTGGAATAATTTACGTAAGGTAATCCTACGTAGAAGACGATACTTAAATGATCTTCCGGTTTGAAAGGCTGATGTGAGGATTGCGGATTTTTTTCTTGATGCTGCTTATATTTGATTGATAGGAGACGCATAGCTTCACTGCACACAATTCCCAGATGACAATGAACAGCACCAAGTACATGCCACCAAGCATGTAATTGTGGATTAAGTCGACTCCTATTATTCATTCGTTCACACAACTGTTGATCCATAGCCCAACATACAAAAGCTGAAATTAATAAACTAACGTATACCATCAGCAGATATTTTAGTCGATATACATGATGATGTGACTGTCGATATAAATAGATCAGTGTGGTTATACCTCCGACCACCATCAAGCTCATATGTCCTTGAAAGATCAGTACAAATGTTTGTAAACTGTGTACGTAAGTCCATAATAACCCATAAAAAATTCCAAATACAACTAATGTGTCAATGGCAAATAGTTTACGCTTGATCTGTTTGAACTCATTCATTCTAACTAATATAAACCACCAAATAATCATTGAATAGACCATGGGAAGTTCATCGGTCATTTGACCAAAATGTGTGAGAGTACCATGGAAATATGCAGATCCGAGTCCGACAAACCCTAAGCCCAAACTAGATAATAAAAATCGAGTTTCAATCTTGTTGTATAAACCTCGAATGAATAATATTCCACCTAATATACACATCGAGAAGCTTGAAATACAATTCCAAAATTCAGCAATATACTGAGTTACAACATAATTACGTTCACACCAATCGATTGAACTGGTGCTGGGTGACCAATAACCTATATTCGGGTCTAATTTGGGTTCAAAATGTTTAACATCTGATGGATGACTATGACTAACTAAAACTGCTCGCGCATCAATTACAACGTGCCAGAATATTGCATTAGATAATATGCGTAAAATAAAAATCGACGAACGCATATTTCCACCACGATTCTTGTGTGAAAGGTCAAATTCTACAGCTATTTACCAAGAGAAGTATGCGACGAATGTTCGAATGCTTGTATGATTGTCTTTCCGATTACCTATATGAGTGAACAGAAGAAATAATTATCACGTTTGATTAGAATACAAATGTGTTTATGTAGTTACAATAATTTAGCTAGTACATAGACAATGTGTTGATTGTGAGAAGAAACAAGAATTTAAAACGATTGGATCTACCTCCACTTATATTTTTTTTCTTTTAGACAAGTAATGTGTATTTCTGCGTTCACAAGTGACGAAGGCAATGGAAACTCTCTCAGACATTATTCTTCTGTATGATGAAATATTTTACCCATATGTGTGAAATAAAAAATTGTTAAAATAGACTTTTTCCAATAAAGAATGTGGAAAAATTGAGAAATTAGGTAGTTTTCTATCAGTTATCATCACTAGAAGAAATGAAGATTTGATTGATAGAGTCAAAATGGGAGATGTATATTGTTTTCTCTGCAGTTTGAAACCACGATCATTTGTGCTGAGCATCTGAAACTACTAAATATCGTTGTTTTTCGACAACCTGTATTTTAATTGACATTCCAGTGACTTTGGGTATGTGTCAACTCAATTAGAGTCATTTTTGATGTAGTTTTTCCACGGTAATGACAAAGATCCTAGTATACTAAATCTAAGAATTAATCAAATTTTCATGGTATTTATTTCTAAATACAACTAGAGAACAAAATTGAGTTTAGGTTTCATTACGACATTAAGGACCTCTCGCCATTAAAAAAAACGTCAATTTTGGTCAAATTCTTTTCATTTTTTGTGATTTATGACTCACAAATCCGTACTTTTTAAAAATTTTGCTTTGAATTTTTAGCAAAGATTTATTTTTCTCAAAAGAATCCCGCTGTGTTTTTCATATTTCATCAGAAAAGCGTTTCAAAAAAAAACGAAGTAGGAAAAAAATTGAAAACTGACATCTGTTAAATTACAATACTAAGTCGTATCGCTACATTTTAAAACCAATTCGAGATTCCTAGCTTTAGAAATGACGGAGAATTTTGAGATGCACGAACACCTATATTTTAACTCTTGACCATAGATTCCCTCTTAGTAGGCTGAATATTTCAGCCTGAAATGTTCACTAGATGTCCATTTTGAGATACATCTTTTCTATACATTTTTATTATGATAACACGATCGAAGAGAAGAAAAAAAACTTTCGAGTGTAAGCCTTAACACAGACGGAGAAAATCGGATGCACTTACTTACTCATGATGGAAAGCAACATGTGTGTGCGTTGCTATTTGCGCACATCACGCGATACTCTATACTACCTCTGCTGTAATTTGTCAGAAAAGAATGAAAAAAAAGTTTCTTTTCATTCTCTCTCGTGGCTTGAGATGACAGAACAGAATAAAATATTGCATAAAGTCACACAACACATTCCACGTGTCTTTGACAATTCAAGAAAAGAACTGTTTCATGTAACAGTAGTGGCTTTCAGGAAATCGAAGACGTAACGGTACGTCATCTGTCGATGTGTCTTCACTAACACGGGTGCCATCACTGCTCTGTAAAAAAATGGTGTCATCAGGAACCATTTATGATTTTAGCGAAGATGCTGAATTTTTAAAGGTTTCATTCATTTGTTAATCAACCATCAAAGGTTCTAGATAATTTTAAGAACCATGTCAGACAAAAAATGGTTCGAGGTGTTTAGAAAAGTTCTATCTCACATCCTTTTCTTATATGCTGAACTTCTTTTTACAAAGATGGTTCCAGCTCAGCAGATCTTTGTATTAAACCAATATTTATGAATATTTCTACACTGTTTCTGTCTATCTGAAGTGTTTGTAATAAGTATTTTGCAACATGATCATATTCTCCAGTATATTTCCAATTGCTTATTGCGAAATTATTGTCAACTTGTCCAATAAGAGTCTCCCGTCTCAGACCCTCCGGGAGTTTTGAATATGCGTTATATGCTTTTTGAATGTATCCCGCGGATTCATCATATTTTTGTTGTTCACATCGAATACGTGCTAATTGTATATTAATATCCTAGGATTCTAGGATTCTTAGGATTCCAGGATTCTAGGATTCTTGGGATTCTAGGATTCTAGGATTCTTAGGATTGTAGGATTCTAGGATTCTTAGGATTCTAGGATTCTAGGATTCTAGGATTCTTAGGATTCTAGGATTTTTAGGATTCTAGGATTCTAGGATTCTTAGGATTCTAGAATTCTAGGATTCTAGGATTCTTAGGATTCTAGGATTCTTAGCATTCTAGGATTCTAGGA